CATGTATAACGAATAAATAGATACCATCAGTACGGAGAAAGGCAAGAGTCCTAGCCGTAGTTTCAAGCCGCACCAACCTTACCATATTAATAACAAGTAAACCCGTAAAAACAAAGTTTTTCACTATAAATCCTTTATATGCGTGGCGGCTAGAGTCTTCTCGTCCTCTGGCTTGAGATGGCTGCCACCTATGGGTCAGATGATTGTCTGCCAGTATTAAGCAATTGGTAATTAAATATTTAATTTGTTATTCCTAAACAGTGTAAAAATTTGGGAATTTTTTTCACGAACATTAATTGTCTCGCACAACGAGTCTGTGTGGAAAATGTCAGCTCGATTGGATCACGGGAAGTGGGTTCAAAAACGACCGAAATATTTGCACGGTCGTAAGCAAGCAAGCAAGCACGCAAGCAAGCAAGCACGCAAGCAAGCAAGCGAACTTAATATAAAGGATTTAAAAAGGGGGCCTGTCCTGACTCATCCCCCCTCAACCAGTATATATACGGGGTAGTATCTCTTGGAATTTCTCATTTACTTGATACAGCAAGCGTGCTGTGACGGTTCCACCTGAAGACGGAAGCTTGTGTTGCCTCCGAAACGTCGTGATTTTTATTTTATTTTTTATCTTATTTTACTTTTATTAATTATAATTTCAACTTTTTACCTACGTGACTTTACCGAAAAAACCTACGACTATGAATCCTTGCAGTCATGAAAGCTTCAAATCTAGATGTGATCCCTGACATGCAATACCCCGGTGTCTACAAACTAAGCTGTGTCTGCGGCAGCTGTTACATTGGGAAAACTTAGTGACATGTCTCCGGACTGGGTTCGTGAACATAAGGCAAATCTGAAACATGGCAGGATTAATACCTCAGCCATGGCTGAGAATTATTTAAACGCTGTGGGCAACACGAAATTGATTTTGCCAAGACAAGCATACTCTGCAAGCCCACTGGCTATCAGCAAATATTCATTCATGAAGCAATCCAAATATATAAACACAGACACAATTTCAACCGAGAAGATGGTACAAACTGAGCAACCATTGGAATGACGTTATTAACCAGTTTAGGTCATAACTGGCTGTAATGTTCCCTCCCTACTTACCTATGTTAGCAGTTATTTTCGACCCTCTGAGTTACATTCACTAACACAGCCACTGTTAGCTGTATTAGTAAATGGCGGCTTGCCATGCTTGTCCACCTCCATGTGGCGATGCTCTTGCAGAGCTCTCTCCGAGCTTACATATACATGCAAATCTCTTACATTGACATGCTAATCCCTCACAATACAATGGCCACCCCCCAAAACAGCTTCGTTTTCAAATGGCGGCTTGCATCCTTGTCCACCTCCAAGTGCTCTTGCCGAGCTCTCTCCGAAATTACATTTACAAGCAAATTTCTTACATTGACATGCTAATCTATCACAATACAATGGCCACCCCCACAGCTTCGTTTGTCAAGATTAACCCGATCTTATTACACAGACACGATTTAAAACTAGAAGATGGGTACAAACTGAGCAATCATTGGAATGACGTTATTAACCAGTTTAGGTCATAACTGGCTGTAATGTTCCCTCCCTACCTACCTATGTTAAAAATAATGTTCAACTCTCTGAGTTACATTCACTAACACAGCCACCATTAGCTGTATTAATAAATGGTGACTTGCCATCCTTTTCCACCTCCATGTGGCGATGCTCTTGCCGAGCTCTCTCCAAGCTTACATATACATGCAAATCTCTTACATTGACATGCTAATCCCTCACAATACAATGGCCACCCCCACAGCTTCGTTTTAAAATGGCGGTTTGCCATCCTCTTCCACCTCCATGTAGCGATAGCTCTTTCCAAGCTCTCTCCGAGCTTACATTTACAAGCAAATTTCTTACATTGACATGCTAATCTCTCACAAGCCAATGGCCACGCCCACAGCTTCGTTTGTCAAGATTTACCCGATCTTACATTTACATGCAAATTTCATCTCTATCTCCTCCCATTTATCCTTGGGCTACACCCATCCCAAACCTTTATATATCTTTACCTTAGCAGTGCTCCCACCATATATTATCAGCAGCTCACCTGATGATAATTGCTTGTGTTGTAATCAAAACGTCGTGATATTGTTATTATTTTTCTAATTTTTTATGTTTTTTTATTATTTGATCTATCTACGTGGCTTTACCAAAAGACCTAAAGAATATTAAAAAGCACACTTTAAATACCAAAGCCAAGGTAAACAAGCAAAACATTCTGCGAGAGCTCACAAATTCAAAGTGGGGAGGACATCCATCCACTCAAAGCACCACTGCCTTAGCACTTTGTTTCTCCGTGGTTTGCTATGCATGATCTACCTGGAGATGCTCAACCCACAATAAACATGTCAACACGGCCCTAAATGACACGTATACAATTGTAAAATGGTTCCTGAAAGCCACCTCTGTTCCCTGCCCATACGCACTTTCTGACATAGCGCCCCCTAACATCAGGAGGAGTGTGGAAGGTGATCACGAGTTGGCAAGTCATAGAGCGTCCGCCATCCGCTATGTGGCTATCAGCCAGCACCCCATCATATCTCACGGAAAAACAGCTTCTTGTATCCAATGTACCACTGACTACATCACCATAATCTGCCAGAACTTCCCTCTGGCAAAAAGAATGGGACAAATCAAGCAACAAATCCGCCGAATAGAGCAGGTGAAGAATCAACCCCAGTAAGGAGCTCGCATTTGCCCCCAATCCAAATGGCTCACATGGTGGAAGCTGAACAAACTGAGAGTGGTTTCGAAAGATGCAACTCTCTCATTAAATCAAGGGGCTTCTGCACAACTGAACAATGTACTTGTCAGGAGAATTAAACCATGGACCATCTCCTGAGATGCCCTGCAGCACCACAATGCACTCCTCAAGATTTGGCAACGCCAACACCAGAAGCGGTGGCCTGTACAGAATCTTGGGAAAATACTATAAAGGTTTGACAGGAGACACGATTAAGAATAAGAAGCTTGTTGTTAAAACATGATCCAAAGATAGTGTTCCTTGGTATGATGTTGGACAGGAGTTTTATGTAGTCCACACCTCGAGAAGACAGCGAGCAAGTTGTGCTCATAGAACTCTCTGCTGGCCTGGATGGCTGGCTCAACGTGGGACGATGGTGCCTGGTCACTACGTATGGTGGATGTCTCTCTGTGCTGCTACTCTGTGGTAGAATACTGTGCAACCCGTATGGACTCGATCAGCTCACACCAAATGGATGGACACTCAGCTGAATGTCACCATGAGAATCATCTCTGGTGCAATCAGGACAACCACACTACCGTGGCTGCCAGTACTCTGCAACATCCCCCCACCAGAAATTTCCCGTCAAGCTGCACTGGCCACGATGATGAACAAGGTACGTACGGCACTGGAGTTGCTCCTTCACGTCGATATCTTCAAGCCTCCACCTGTGCGTATGAAGTCCCGAAACCCAGTATGGGCACTACCACACCCCAAAGACTCGAGTATGCGGGATATCCAAATTGCCTCGGGTGAGGATTGGAGATGCGTTTATATGCTTAACAAGGACCTCATCAGTGATCCGTCTGTCCGGCTGCTTAGCTTCGATCTCCCAAGGTGCCAGTGGGTTCAGTTGAGTTTAACACGTAGGCTTTCGCAACCAATATCATCCATAACAGAGGTTTTTTGGGTTAGATCGCGTAAATATATAAATGTGTGTAAATGTTGTGGCTTGGCTCTCCAACACACCTGTGTGCTGTACTAGTGACGAATTGGCATGTTCTGTATACGTGACAACCCTTATTAGTTGGCTGTGTCGGGTGGTGGCGGGTTTTAACGACACATTTTTATATTTACGCAATCTAACCCAAAAACCCTCTATTATGGGTTCAGTTGAACCGCTTCCGGTGTGACCAGGGGGTGTGTGCCACTACCAAACATCAATGGGGCATACGTGCCAGCCCGCTGTGTTAATGCGGGAAGTCCATCAGGGTGTGCCGGGCAGACTTGTTGTCCTGCACGTGCTGGAGGAGAGGCTGTTATTTGATTATTTGGCTACGTGGACTGCTGTCCACTCATGTAATATTGATAAACGTAGGTATGTATCCTGCATAATGCACGGGCATAATATGACTTTGAAACCCCCCGCCCACCTCCTACGCATTTCCCATAAATATGCTAAATTCCTCTTGATATACAAATTATTTTGTCAAGGTGCTCTTCTTCCCCCTCCAACCCAGCTTAAATAAACGCTCCAAGCTTGGTGGTGTTTCATTTCTCACCTGAGGACGGCTGCTTGCATTGTGGCCGAAACGTCGTGAGAATTATTTTATTATGTTTTAATTTTATTAGTTTATTATTTCCCTTCTACGTGACTTTACCGAAAGAACCAAGAAGATGAATCCCTGCAGTCACGAAAGCTTTAAATCGAAATGTAGGTATGTATATTCAATTATTTAGGTCTGCGTACCTGGTGCTCTGTGTGACGATCACGTGTAAAAACATTGACTAAGTAAATATGAAAATTATATGTGGTTCCTAATTGTATGGGGATGAGCCAAAACCACAATTTTCAATCACGTGTCAACGTGAAGGGTCATTGCGATATAACATTTCATGACACAATACGATAGGACTTTTTCACAAGATGACAGTCATCACGATATCAGTTTCCCGTGGCTTTGAAATAGTGTTTCACTTTTTTGTATAGTTTGTTCATGTGCTTTGCTGTACTTGCAGTACAAATAAAGATGCTTGGACGTTCATTAACTGCAGGTCACTAGACAAGCCTTTTCATCATGCAATTTTAGGAACTTTAATGCTTATCTCGCACCTCCTTTGAGCACGGTTGGCTACGTACATTGCGAAAGAAGTTCAGTATACAACAACACAATGGCCTGAATCTGTTTCACAGATTGCTTCTCAGTACACTCATAGCTTTAACTTTACAAGTTTAAACCACAAATTGACGATTACATGCTTAAAATAAATTACTTACAGTAAAAGTTGATGTTCGGAAAAAAGGAGATGCAATTGGATTGACTCAAACCGGCCAAGAAGTCAGGGCATTGGGGAGGATCTGAAGAAGAGAAGAGAGTTTACAAAATACATCAATGTTATTTCCAGAACTGGGAGTTCCAACTGCAGGTATTTTTGGCATGTATTTCGCTCAGTAATGGCGTAATGCACAAGCAAACAACGATAATGCTTCAGGCCCCAATTAGCTCAAGGAGGTTCTGAATCCGTAAAAATCACGCTTAAAATTAGCTCAAAATTCTACTAAACATAAGCTAATTAAAATAACAAACAATTGCTCTCTCTGACCTCTAGTCTGAATCTCTCTTCCCTCATCTCACTACATATCTAGTGCACGTCTATAGCATAAAATACATTATTTGGTGATGCTGCCGCTGTGTTTGGAAGTGATGCACAAGCACAAACATCTAAAAACTCTAAATTATTCGTCAATAATACCAGAAGGCCTTCGTCAAGCAATGACCATTTCTTCAAGTACTCATTTGAGGCTGGGTCGACATAGGGGAGGCCCAGGAGTGGTTCCAATAATCGTCACTGGTGTTAGTCGTGAGCAGAAATCAAACGCGGGTCGACGGGTTCGTAGCGCAGCACGCTAGCCACGACACTACCCCCACACACATACAAAGACATACAAACCCACATTCTCGAATGAGTGCAATGCTAATGCAGGACTGGGAGGCTTACTGCAATATTCGTAGTTTTTGGTCCGTGTGAAATAAGACCATCCAAGCTGCATCATCTCTGCCAAGTAATAGAGACAGGTGCCGGCCATAGGAGGGAGATAAAAGGCCGTGTAAACCCACTCTCCACCTGCAAAGCAACAGATTTAGGATAAAAACAGGCTTTACCCTTTTAGGCATTAATACAGGTGTTAATATGTTCAAACACCTAATAGACATCTATTATTGTAAGGCATTCAAGTCTGCATTAACCATACATGTTTGCTGTAAAACACGCAAACAAACGTGCTCTAATAATATAGGTATTGTTTTGATATCTTCTGATGTATCCATCTTCCCCCACAAGAACATACATAAGCTCACCTGGAAGTCTCCTGATGGGAAGACCACCCACCAGATTGACCACATTATTATCAATGGCAAGTGGCACAGGTCACTTCAGGATGTTAGAACATATCGTGGTGCAGATGTCGATAGCAAGCACTACCTTGTCACTGCTACTATCAAGATCAAGCTCAAAATAGTCATACCACAAGGTAGGTGCCGTAAACAACTGGACATTTCGAAACTTAAGCGCCCGAAAAAGAACAAAGATTTTGTCATGGAGCTAAATAACCGTTTTAGTGCTATAAATGCCACCGCTGAAATGGAGGAAGAACAAAACATCAACAGAAAATGGGATAACATCATGAACACGTACCTTGAAGCAGAGCAACGCGTCCTAGGTTTCAAACAAAAGGGGGCTAAAGAGTGTATAACACCAGATACATGGCAGGAGATTGAAGAGAGAAAACAATTTAAACAAAGCTACTAAACTTCAAGTCACCAAGACTCCAAGAACAGGAATGGATAGCCTACAAGAACAAGGACAGAGAAGTGAAGAGGAGTGCCAGAAGAGACAATAGGGCCTTTGTTGAGAACCTGGATAGTGAAGCTGGGAAGGCTGCAGACAATGGAGATGAGCACAGTCTACAAGATCACAAGGCGTCTCAGTGGAAAAAAATATAACCAATCTGCTCCAATACATACACAAATGGCAACACCATTACTTCTGAGAGTGAAAAAGCAGCCAGATGGGTCCAACACTTCCAGGAAGCGCTCAACCTCCCTGACCCAGATTAGCTAGTCAAATTCCATCAACAGATGATGTCCTTGATATTGCCACAAGTCCTCATGACATATCTGAGGTTAGAGCCGCCATCAAATGTCTGAAGAGTGGCAAGGCATGTGCAATAGATAAAATCCACGTGGAGATGCTAAAAGCAGACATTCCCACAGCTGCAAAGGATCTGACCGACCTCTTCCATAATATCTGAACCACAGACAACATCCCCAATGACTAGACTAATGGTCTTATCGTTAAAATACTAAATAAAGGCAACCTCAAGAACAGCAATAACTGGCAAGGAATCACCTTACTATCCATTCCCAGCAAGGTATTACGCAGAGTTCTCCTCAACAGAATGGAGACAGCCATTGGCACCAGGCTCAGGCAGAAGCAAGCGGGATTCATAAGAGGAAAATTATGTATAGACCAGATCTTTACACTGTGGAACATCATTGAGCAGTGCTTAGAATGGAGCACACCTTTGTTCATAAACTGTGGATTTCAAGAAAACCTTCGACAGTGTACCCTTTGGAAGATAATGTGCTCATATGGAATTCCATCTAAAATCATAACCATCATAGGAAAGTTCTATGAACACTTTGAATGCAGTGTTAATCATGGGCAACATCCTCTCCAAGTGGTTCGCTGTAGAGTCTGAAATGAGACAAGGGTGTATCGTCTCGCACATCCTCATCCTCCTTACCATAGAATGGATCATGAGCAATACTATGTCGGACAAACCCAGAGGCATCCAGTGGACCCTGTTCAATCAGCTGGAGGACCTAGACTTTGCCGACGACCTCGATGTCCTTTCAACCAATCACTCAACCTACAGGAAAAAAACTGATAGGCTTGTTAACCAAGCAAACAGGTCTAACATCAAGACTTGCAAAACTCAAGTCATGTGCATCAATTCCACCCCCACGACACCCGTTGTAATCAACAGCGACTCACTGAAGTTTGTGGATGACTTCACGTATCTGAGCAGCTTCATCAGCAAGGACAACAGGGCCCATAAAGACATCAAAATAAGGCTGGGAAAAGCTAGGGGCGCCTTCCTTCAACTCGAACCATTTGCAAGTCCAAACAGTGCAATCTGAAAACCAAAGTCCAAATATACAACAGCAACGTCAAGTCCATCCTGCTATATGGCTTTGAATGCTGGAGGCTCATGAAAGCAGAAATGAAAAAGGTTGAGGACTTGCACAATGGATGCCTGAGAAACATCTACTGTATATTTTGGCCAAACAAATTTTACAATCATGAATTGTACTTAAGGGCCAAAACCAGAACATCACAAAGGAGCTAAAACAAGGAAGACTGCAATGGCTAGGCCATGTCCTAAGAATGGAACAGAACCACATGCTCCGAGATGGACGCCTCTGGGCAAACGAAAACTGGGGAGGCCAAAAACCACCTGGTGAAGAATCATCACCGAAGAATTTGGTCAGATGAACCTCTCATGGGGGGAGGCACAGCATGCATCCAAGGACAGGAAAAGATGGAGAGAACACATTGTAACCGTATGTACCACAGGAGATAAAGAGGAGTAAGTAAGTAAGATCCACTCTCCACCTGCAAATGCAACATATTTCTGGAACAAAAACAGACTTTACCCTTTCTGGCATTATACAGGTGTAGTGACTAACTCGGAGACAAAGAGACTTGGAGGCACTTCCTTAAATTAACGAACACCATCGGGATAATAAATACCCTATGTGGGTGCACACTTTACAGTCGCTAGCCCAAACACAACTCTAACCGTCTAACACTGACGGCGTTGACGGAGACAGCCTCGGACCAACCACCTCGTTTTGAAAACCAACAATATCATCACTGATTCGACATCTTTAATCGAACCAACCAAGCGGTTTTCCTTAAAACCCTCTGCTGATAGACCACTCAGATTGTATGGCTTATCAAAAATCCATGAAGAAGGTATGCCCCTTCATCCTCCACCATTGACTCACACGAAATTGATTTCTCTAAGACGAAGGTACTTTGCAAACCCACTGGCTATCAACAAAGATTCGTTCATGAAGCCATCCATATATATAGACACAGACACAATTTCAACCGAGAAGATGGGTACAAACTGAACAATATTGGAACGACGCTATTAACCAGTTAAAGTCATAACTGGCTGTGATGTTCCCATCCTACTACCTTCCGATGTCAGTTGTTATTTTCGGCTCTCTAATTTTTTACATTACCAAATTAAATTTCTCACACTAACACAGCTACCTCGTGCGCCATCCTCGAGGTTGCTGCTCGGCAATCTGCCATTAACATGCTAATCAACCTGGCAGCCCTTTGATTGGTGGAAAACCCACCACTGCTGCAGTCGCTGCCCACATTTGGGCTCCGCCCATTTCAAACTTTTATAAACAGTTGTCTTTAGAAGCTAACCCCCCTTTTCCTGATGACGACCGCTTGTGTTGCTATCGAAACGTCATAGTTTTTTGTTATTGTATTATCTTCCTTGAACCTATCTACATGACTTTACCGAAAGACCTTAAGAATACTAAAGATCTACATCGTGGAAACCATCGGGCCGACTGTTTGAGATCTACATGATGGAAAGCAATGAGAAAGACTGGTCAACACCATTGGAACCTCATTTGCCAGTAAAAAATATGATAATTGTTTTTTTACCCAAAAAAGTTATGTTTTTTGTTTGCATTATGACTGCAGGTATTGTGGTCTATGTAAACATGACTCCTTGTAAAAAAGGGTGTCAGTTTTGGTGCCAGATAGAAGGGTAAAAAAACAATTATCAAGACTGTTCAAGTTAATCTAGTGGAAACCAACAGGGCTGCAGATAGGTATAGCCGTTGTGAGTTATACAAACTGAGGGCACCCCAATGGGCTCCCCCCTATCTCCGGTTGTAGCCAACGTTTTCATAGAGAAATTTGAGACTGACGCCATCAAGACTGCCACTCTATGTGTGGCACATTAGGAATGGATCACTCTTCATAGTATGTCCTTGTGCAGCAAGGGAGTAAAGTGTGGTTCTGTGAAGGTCCTGATGTGCTGTGCAGTGCATCAACGCATGTGTGTACAGCAGCATGTGATGACTGAGTCGGGCCTGTAGGTAGCTGGCAGGGTTAATGAATAACCGCGCGTGTAAACCAGCCACATGGTTAATGGCGTCTCGGAATAATTGCTGCGTGTAACACGCGCTGTTGCATTTTACAGCGTGATGGTGCTGTTCTTCACAAGATTAATATTAACTACAATAAATACATGTGCTTGCCCTCGATTTGGAGCACCTGCCCACGTCCTTCATTTCGAGTGTGCAACATATTTTGGCGAGCCTGGCAGGAGAGTTTCCCTGAGTTCACTGACGGGGATCAACTCTTCCAATAAGACGGACCAAGCAATTGTAAAGGCAGAATATATAAAGATATTCGTACAAGGATCTGAACGGTCTTCACATCATGGCACTGGAACAGCTGCAGGACAAGGCCAGTACTGCTTTGGATCAGCTGCACAAAGCCCAGCTCATGGAAACATGCAGATATTTGAAGTGTTTCAATGATGATGAGACTGGTGAAGATAAAAGCAGACGGGCTTTGATTCGTATGGCAGAAAGAGTACTTGATGAAGTTGAAGACCAAGAAGAAGATGATTAGGCCTGTGCATACGTTAAAAACCTGCTGTCTTTCATTGAAGCAATACAGCAGAAAGAGAAAGACAGCAATGGAACAAGTCAAACACTGCACACCATCAAAACTTTCTGAAGATATGGATGGTGAAATACAAGAGTCACAAGAAGAATCCAGAAAGACCCTTGAGGAAAAGAAAATCTCAAGTGAAGGTGGAACAAAAACCACAGCAGCATTGAATCCCATACGAATGGCCAGACTAGGAAATGTGCCGGAAGTCACAATACGGAGAGAATTCAGGATCTGCGGGCAGATTGGTGAAAGAGGGCAGAAAGACAAGTTATCTTACACCAATCTGACGCACCAGATCGACACAGGAACCCGTAAGGGCCATGCCGAGTCTGACATCATTG